ACACAAAGGCCAGTGCCTAATCTTTAGTGGGTTTGTGTTTGGACTATTTGCCACTAGGTGGCAGTAAAAAAAATTATTCTTAGCAATGAAAAATTCTTATCAATTTTTAATTTTACTTTAAAAGATATAGGGGATTAAAGTTTGAGGTGTCTGTTTTGAAGTTATGTAACCACACACAGGCTTCTGTATGTTGTTTCTGGAACTTATGCTTATTTTATCCAGGGGTAAAACTCTTGTGGCCCTCCACAGCGACTCATATTAGGGAATTATGGAAAAAACAGATATAAGTTAAAGTATGTGATTTTGTTTTATGAAATATTTTTTATGATTAAAATTAGAATATGGTAATTGTAGAAACTATAAAAATACAGATAGTCTAAAGAAGAAAGTTTCAGTTACTCCTGGAAATAATCTATGTTAATTATTTGTTTCACTTCATCCCAGTATTTTTTTGTGCATGAAAACTTAAAATCACATTGAACATTGTTTTAACTTTGCTTTTCAAATTGTTATATTGTCTTTTCCTATGCCATTAAATATCTTTTTCAACATGATTCACACTGTTGGATAAACCATGATGAATTCAACTAATCTAATGTTGAGTACTTTGGATGCTTCTAGTTTTTTTTTTACTGTTATAAGTAATGCTGCTCTGAACCTAAATCTTTCCCTTAGGATATATTCTTGGAAACTGAATTACTGGGTAAAAGGATATGATTTCTTTTTCTTTCTTTCTTTCTTTTTTTTCATGGCAGCTGGCCAGTATGGGGATCCAAACCCTTGACCTTGTTGTTATCAGCACCTAACCAGCTAAGCTAATGCTCTAACCAGCTAATCTATCTGGCCAGCCCCAGGATATGAATTTTAATGCTTTGGCTACTTATTATCATCTGACTTCCCAGAAAGGCTTTAAAAATTTGGACTCCCAACAACAAATGGGAGAGCCCACCTCACCACTCCCAGAGCCCATCTTAGCACGTCCTTGCCAACACTGAGTATTGTGGTGTAGTTTTTTTGTTTTATTTTGTTTTGCTTTGTTTTAATGGGGTGGGGAGGACTGGGGCGGGGAACTACCTTTATAGCATTTGATTTTTAAAAATCGTTTTCTAACTGTGTCATTTTGGAAATTTAAGCCAGGACAGATCTTCCAGTTATTTTCATTTTTCTGAGACCTTGTGTGTTAAAGTCAGCTTGTCCAGGCATTGGAAATAGTGTCTAGGGAATGGTTTGTGGCCATTTCAAACATTACTTGAGAATTATTTACAATAATAATCCCTGATTACACCCTCCGAATCTATCCGATGTCTAGATTTCTTTCTTTTTTTAAAAACTTCCATTGGCTCAGCTGCTGAAGGAGATGCTGCAGTGCTGGGAAGTACCCTCCACGTGCTGGTCCTGGGCTCAGGGTGTGAGTGCACTGTGAGCCCCTGCACCCTGGGTTAGTTGGCAGGGAAAGCCTGGGTGTGGTTTTGCTTGAGATCTGCAGCCTTAACTGACCTGCAGCTGCTACTCCCTTGAATCAGTTTCCTTCTGTTGTACACTGCATTACTTTCATTCCTAACTATAGTACCTTGGGCTTTAATTTTTTAAAAGATCAGTCATGTGAAATGGAGTAATAGTAGCCACCTGTTTATGGGTGGCTTAACTGAAACTTTGCTTAATTGAATATGATTAAAAACTGACCTTGGGATTTTCAGTGAGGTGCTGTACTTAGAGAACTTAGCACAGTTCTTGACACGTGGTAAGCACCCAATAAATCTTAGTCATCATAATTGCTAGAATTCCTTCAAGAAGCAGCATTTAACCAAGGGATAGGAGAGCTCTCTAGGCGGAGGGAATAGGGCATACTAACGTCCTGAGGGGTCAGAGAGCCTGCGGCCATCCAGGGACAGCAGGGGAGGTTAGCCTGGGGGTGGCTGTGGGGATGCTGCAGAGCCAGTGGGGCCATCCCTCTTTGCTTTGGGAAGAAGTTTGGGCTTCATGGTAAGAATATCTGGGAGCCATAGGGTCTTAAATGGAGGACCCATCAGATTTACAATATTTAAAAATGTTTCCAGCTGTCTCATGGGGAGGTTCATTATAAGGTTTGGCGATAGAGTAGGAAACCAGCCTTGGGCTGTGAGGTAGCTCTTGGCATATAGTATTTTTTCCTGATTATAAAACTAGTACATACACACACATACAGGAAGCTGGAAAACATACTAAAGTAGAAAGAGTAAAAATAGATACAGGCATATGTGTGTATGTATACCCACAATAGCATCACCCTAGAGACTGTCAACATTTGGAGATATTTTCTTGTATTATTTTTCCATTCCTCTGTATGGGTTATTTGTATATTGGTGAAATTGTTTCTGGGTATAGAATTTTGTATCCTCCTTTCTTCATTTACATTATGATATAACCACTTAAAATGCTGTCGTGAATTCTTATACAGTGAGCTCCTGCATAAGGTGTTATAAATTAATCATCGCCTCCTGTTAGACATTTTCAGTATACTACAGTGAAAAATGAAGTAACACTATAGTGAACATCTTTGAGCATAATCCCCACCATCATATTTGGATTTATTTCTTTAAATGTACATCAGCTACATCAAGGGTTCTGAATGCTTTCAAGACGTTTAATATCCATTTTCAAGTTGCTTTCTATAGGCAGGGCCTCTGTTATCCTGTAAGGGTCTTTGTTCAGGTGAGAAACTTCTGGGTAGACATAACCCTGGCAGTCCGAGCTTGGAGTGAGTCGTGGCCACGCTATGCCTGCCCACACTCCGTGGGTGCCTGCGGCTGTTCACAGCTACACTCTGTGTGGAAGTCCCCATTCATATTTTTACGGGAGTCACAGAACCCAAAACAATGCTTAGATATTCATGTCTGTAAAAAGTTTTCATTTATACGTGGAAAATAGCATGTTTGTGTTTTAATTTACTTTTTGATTATGAGGATGAACATTTATACATCTTTCCTAGACATTTGTATTTTCTCTTATAAATTGTCTGTTCATATATGTTTTTTGTGCTCTTAGTGTTTGTCATATGATATTTTGTACATTAACTTGATTACTATTCCTCTTAGTTTGAGCTGATATTATTTTTTGTTTTTTGGTTTGGTTTTTTTTTTTTTTTGAAGTTCTTACAACAAGCAAATGGAGGGGACACACTTGGGGGGGGGGGGGGGGGGGGGG